TTTGGGATTTTTTGGGGGAATTTTTGGGGAGATTTGGGGGGGATTTTTTTTGGATTTTTGGGGAATTTTTTTGGATTTTGGGGAATTTTTTTTGGATTTTGGGGGATTTCTTTTTTTTTATTTTTTGGGAATTTTTTGGGAATTTTTGGAAGATTTTTTGGGATTTTGGGGGATACTCTTTTTATTTTTGGGGGATTTTTGGGGGGATTTTTTGGGATTTTTTGGGGATTTTTTTGGATTTTTGGGGGATTTGGAAATGGAAAAAACCCCCAAATTTCCCCCTAAAAAATCCACCCCAAATCCCTGAAATTCCAGGATTTTGCACCCAGAATCAAAAAAAAAAACCCCAAATTTCCACCCAAAAATCCACCCCAAACTCCTGGAATTCCAAATTATAACCTGGAATTTTTGGGGGATTTTTTTTGGATTTTTTGGGATTTTTTTTTTTTAATTTTTTGGGGAATTTTTTGGGATTTTTTTTAATTTTTTAGTGATTTTTTGGGGGATTTTTGGGGGATTTTTTGGGATTTTTGAGGGGATTTTGGGGGGGATTTTTTTAAATTATTTTTTTAGTTTTCAGGGGATTTTTTTTGATTTTTTTGGGATTTTTTTCAGATTTTTTGGGATTTTTTGGAATTTTTTGGGATTTTTTTTGGATTTTTTTGGATTTTTTTTGGATTTTTTTTTGATTTTTGGGGAATTTGGAAATGGAAAAAAAAACCCCAAATTTCCCCCCAAAAATCCACCCTAAAATTCCTGATTTTCCCCCCTGAAATCCCAATTTTCCCCAAAAATTCCCAATTTTCCCCCAAAATTCCCAAATTTTTGCCTTTCACCCTCCCCAATCCCTCCCCAAATCCCCCAAATTCCCAAAAAATTCCCAAAATTCCCGATTTTTTTCCCTTCCAGGGTTCTCCGGGTCCCGCCGGGGACAAGGGAGAGACGGGCGACGTTGGACCCCTGGTGAGCCTCCCAAAATTCCCAAAACATTCCCAAAAAATTCCCCAAAAATTCCCCAAAAATTCCTGAAAATTACAAAAAAAATTCCCCAAAAAATTCCTAAAAAATTCCCCCCAAATTCACAAAAATTTCCCCCAAAATTCCCCTAAAAATTCCCCAAAACATTTCAAAAAAAATCCTGAAAATTCCCAAAAAAACCTCAAAAAAATTCCCCAAAATTCCAAAAAAAATTCCCAATAATTGCCAAAAAATTCCTATAAAAATTCCCCCCAAAATCCCCCAAAAATTCCCCAAAAATTTCCCCAAAAATTCCCAAAAATTCCTTAAACATCAGAAAAAAAATCCCCCCAAAATTCCCCAAAATCCCCAAAATTCCCTAAAAATCAAAGAAAATTCCCCCATAAAATTCCCCAAAAATTTCCCAAAAAATTCCCCAAAAAATTCCTCAAAGTTCCTCAAAATTCCCCAAAAATTCTCCAAAACATTCCCCAAAAATCCCCTAAAATTCCCCAAAAATTCCTCAAAATTCTCCCAAAATATCCCCAAAATACCAAAACATTCCCAAAAAAATTCCAAAAAAATTCCCCAAAAATTCCCAAAAATCCCCCCAAAATATCCCAAAAATCCCAAAAAATCCAAAAATTTTCCAAAAACTCCCCCAAAAATATCCCAAAAATCAAAAAAAAGTCCCACAAAAAATCCCTTAAAAAATCCCCCAAAATTCCCAAAAATTCCCAAAAATATCCCAAAAAATTCCCCAAAAAATCCCTTAAAAAATCCAAAAAAATTCCCCAAAATCCCCCAAAAATATCCCAAAAATCCCAAAAAATTCCCCCAAAATTCCCCAAAAAATCCCCAAAAATTTCCCAAAAAAATCCCAAAAAATTCCCCCAAAAAATCCCTTAAAAAATCCAAAGAAATTCCCAAAAATTCCCAAAAAAATTCCAAAAAAATTCCCAAAAAATCCTAAAAAATCCCCCCAAAATTCCAAAAAAATTCCTTAAAAATCCCCCCAAAAAATCCCCAAAAATTCCAAAAAAATCCCCCCAAAATTCCCCAAAAATTCCAAAAAAATCCCCCCAAAATATCCCAAAAATCAAAAAAAATTCCCCAAAAAATTCCCCAAAAAATCCCCAAAAATTCCCAAAAAATTCCCCAAAAATTCCCAAAAATCAAAGAAAATTCCCCAAAAAAATCCCAAAAAATCCAAAAAAATTCCCCCAAAAAATTCCCCCAAAATTCCAAAAAATTCCCCCCAAAAATCCCCAAAAATTCCCAAAAAATCCCCCCCAAATTCCCCAAAAATTCCCAAAAAATTCCCCAAAATATCCCAAGAATCAAAAAAAATTCCCCCAAAAATTCCCCAAAAAATCCCCAAAAATTTCCAAAAAATTCCAAAAAAATCCCCCCAAAATTCCGAAAAAATTCCTTAAAAATCCCCCCAAAAAATCCCCAAAAATTCCCAAAAAATCCCCCCAAAATATCCCAAAAATCAAAAAAATTCCCAAAAAAAATCCCAAAAAAAAAATCCCAAAAAATCCCAAAAAATTCCCAAAAAAATCCAAAAAAATTCCAAAAAAATTTCCCAAAAATTCCTTAAAAGTTCCCCCCCAAAAATCCCCCAATATTCCCAAAAAATTCCCCAAAATTCCAAAAAAATTCCCCAAAATTCCCCAAAAATTCCCCAAAAATCCCCCCAAAATATCCCAAAAATCAAAGAAAATTCCCAAAAAAATTCCCCAAAAAATCCCAAAAAAATCCCAAAAAATTCCAAAAAAATTCCAAAAAAATTTCCCAAAAATTCCTTAAAAATTCCCTTCAAAAATCCCCAAAAATTCCCAAAAAATCCCAAAAAATATCCCAAAAATCAAAAAAAAATCCCCAAAAAATCCCAAAAAATTCCCCAAAAATTCAAAAAAATTCCCAAAAAATTCCCCAAAAATTCCCTAAAAATTCCCCCCAAAAAATTCCCAAAAAATTCCCTAAAAAAATTCCCATTTTTCCAGGGTCCCCCCGGCCCTCCCGGACCTCGAGGCCCCTCCGGAGCTTCCGGAGCCGACGTGAGTCAAATTCCCGCCAAAAATTCCCAAAAAATTCCCCAAAAAAATCCCCAAAAAAATTCCCAAAAAATTCCCAAAAAAAAATTTTGGGAATCTCCAATTCCCAAATTTTCCTTTCCCAAATGCAGGGACCTCAGGGACCTCCCGGAGGCGTCGGGAATTTGGGACCCCCCGGACAGAAGGTGAATCCCGGGAATTCCGGGGGGGGATTTTCCCTTGGAATTTTGGGGTTTTTGATGGAATTTTGGGGTTTTTGATGGAATTTTGGGATTTTCCGTTGGAATTTTGGGGTTTTTGGGATTTTTGGGGTTTTTGATGGAAATTTGGGATTTTCCATTGGAATTTTGGGATTTTCCGTTGGAATTTTGGGGTTTTTGATGGAAATTTGGGATTTTCCGTTGGAATTTTGGGATTTTCCGTTGGAATTTTGGGATTTTCCATTGGAATTTTGGGGTTTTCTGTTGGAATTTTGGGGTTTTTGATGGAAAATTGGGATTTTTGGTTGGAATTTTGGGATTT